TGCTGTATAGGCTACGGCATAAAAGCCGTTAAGCTGAGAGGGTAAAAGCGGCCCTGGTGGCGTAAACTCGCCCGGAAAGCGTGAGGTGCGGGTTCGACTCCCGCCTGGGGCACGACTTTTGCCCACAACTCAGCAATAACATTCGGAACGCGTACTGCGGCGTTAAACAGCAGTTATCATAACAAAAAGGATCGTTTATTACAACGTTCATAGGTAGATATAAACTGAGGTATATGAAAGTGAATACCTCTCGAAATCTTTTCGTTACATTCGACAGGGAAGTTCGTCAAAAAAATTCTTTTAGATTTTTTTTCTACTTCTTAACTTTGAGTTACCCGTACAATCGACCCCAATATTAAAGGAATCATTAAGCCTCAGCTACTTCTGCGTGTACCACTGTAGCTTATGTCAAGAAATTAGGACTTTTTAACTCAAAAGAGTCGCTGATTGCCACTTTGATCTCTCTTCCTCGCCAGTGATGCTTCAGCGATCAAAGCAGATTGTAGTCAGAAGGCACAAGGTTAGTGGGAGTATCACGGGTAAGCAACCAGACCCATCTGGGTTCCTTGATTCTTTCATGAGTGTTCGAAGGCATCTAGGGCGATATTTGACTCGGAGGGCGCTAGGTATACCTTGTCTGGTTCTTGACGTTTTTCTCAAAACGCGCCCAGCATTTGCTGCGGTTGATTGATGTGAACAGAAGCTACGATAGTCTTGACTATCTCACTATGCTTCGGTCCTATCACATCCCGCCAAAACGAGAAATGTGGTGAGGTTGCGACTTTGGGTAGTTTGGCGGCTCTGCGCTGTGGAAGAGTCCAACTGATTAATAGTTATCCGGAGTAACCAGCTTTTATAACTGACCACTGGGTAAAAAACCTTTCTGATTCGCTAAAAAGTAGCCTCAACGATGTTGAAACCCACCTGTTTTGTATATTGGAAAAATGTACAAGGTTCGCGTGCAGGCCGTCATATATTTAAAGGCAGTTGGCACGATAAATCCCTAAGACGAGTAGGATTAATACGCCTGGCAGGACGGAATTCCGCGACCCTGAGCAGGCGCTGCGTGCGCCTTTTCCAAGGAAGGTACCCTTATAAGGCCCTATCAAGCTACAACATACCGACCCGAACGCCCACCACGCCCGCCCGCCCACAAATGGACGACCGTACCTGATGCTCGTATTGCTTCATTTGCTAAGTAAAATATGAAGCGAAGGGATTGATATGAAGCGGCCGCGGTGCTGCATGGATATATGAGTACACGCATGCAGCCGTATCTATCGTAGCATTATTGGGAAGATGCCTAGGGGAACTCGTCCAAAATTGCTCAAGTCATTGAAAATAAAGGCTTCTTCACTGGTATTCGACTATTTCACTTCGTTTTTTTTTCGCCATTTTTCCCCACTATATAGCGCCCGGCTAGCATT